TGAATACGAATCTCAGATTTCCGACATGTGTCCCCCCCAATAGTAAACATATTCCTACGCCCTTGCCTGCCTACCATGTCGAGCTTTTAGCCCATCTCGGCAGCTGTGACGTATCACATGTGCATATATTTACTTAACATTTGTACGAGGCGAGTACTTCATTAACGATTGTCTTCCTGATATATTTTAGATGAAAGCATTTCTCTCCATTCAGAGTTGAACAGCCATGAATCCGGGTTCCTAAATAGCAGCTGGTAATCACAGCTGAGGACTTTGTCGTCATTGTCGCCAAGTTCTACAGCAGTAATGCCAAGCTTTTCAGCTTCAGCCACTTTATCGTGGAGTCTACAAGTATGTCCACCGGTGAAGCCTTGTTTGGTTTGTTTCAACTTGACATCATACACATCAGTGCAGTTTGAAACGTAGCTGTATTGGAGGCTCATGCATCTACCAGCTTCTGGCAGGATGTAGAGTAGGGGATTTGTAAATTCACAAATCTTCATCTGCCTGCAATGTCATTTACTCACTGTTAGGCTCAAAAAAGATAAATTGTCCTTTAATCCTGGTTCATGATCTTTGAAGAAAAAGCACCAAGGGATATGGGATGGCCATTCCAGAACATTGTAATTGTTCCTCTGCATGAATGCCTGAGTGGATTTGGAGCGGCGTTTTGGATCATTGTCTTGCTGAAATATCCATCCCTGGCATAACTTCAACTTCGTTCCTGATTCTTGAACATTTTTCTCAAGAATCTGCTGATATTGAGTGGAATCCATGCGACCCTCAACTTTAAATCTCTGAGACAACTTTTTGTTTCCTTCCCCTGAAAGACAACGTTGAACAATCTTTGTTTTCAGATCATTGGAGAGTTGTTTTGAGGTGCTCATGATGAATCTTAAGAGGAGAATCAAACAGGAGAACAACTTTCAACTGGTCACCTTAAACACATTTTCTCATGATTGGATACACCTGACTATGAAGTTCAAATCTTAATGAAGTTACCAAACCAATTTTGTGTTTCAGTAAGTCAGTGAAAAGTAGTTAAGTGTATTCAAATCAATAAAATGATTAGGGTACCCACATTTTTGCACCTGTCAAATTTTGTTTTAATGCATATTGCACATTTTCTGTTAGTCAAATAAACCTCAATTCAATACTAAAATATTACTGAGTCCATCAGTTATTAGTATATCAAACTGAAATAGCTGTTGCAAACACCCAAATATTTGGAAATAAAAATAATTAAGATTAATAGGGTTCCCCAAACTTTTTTGAGGAACCCTATTTTTTGGACTGTATCTCATCGCATCCAATATTGGCTACATTATTGCATCTGATCAGTGTTCTGTGACAGCAGAAAGAAAGCATCAAACTCTTACTCTGTATGTGCCCCACAGAGAATCCCACCATTTGAGACGTTTTCTCAGGGACCAACACTGCAGTTTACACTGCGTTGGACAGGTGATGCCAGTGCGAAGTCCACCGCCCCGGTAGCCAAGCCTCTTGCAACTCGCAACTCAGAAACCACCAGCCCAATGGAGACCCGGACCAGCCACCACCGCGCAGCCCTTATGAGTACGTATAGAACCATTTCAAGTTGTGGTCACTTATAGAGTTGTACATGGGTATATTGAAATGTCAATAGTCCAGCTTTAAATTTTTAGTTAGATCTTTGATTTGGTGTAAATGTCTTTACATACCTTGTTCCATACCTTTACATATAACAATAAGTCCAGTCTAAATGTCTTGAATGACACAAATTATCTCTATTGGATCTGAGACAACTGACCAAATGGTTCTAGTATATATGTGGCGTTATGTGTTTAGGTCTAAAATGGAGAGAAACTGTAGCCATTGAGTCCCTTTCAGAGATATTTGTGTTGAGTATATTTTTATAATTATTTATTTATAAGTCATTTTTAGAAATCACACCAATTTTTCTTCTCTAAACTTTCCTGATTAAGTATATTCAATTTATTGTCTTGCAGAAAATAAATTAGTTGGTCATTACATAATCTTATTTCTGTTGCTTCTCAGAGAAACATTCAACAGAGATCAACTCATGTAGCACACAACTAAAGTGTAAGCACTTTCTTTTTTGCTTCATATTCCGTCCTAAAGATCCCGTCCTAATGATATATATAAATATATACTAGGGATGCACTGAAAAAAAAAATCAGGTTGTTTTCTGATGCTTTTAGTTAAGAGTTTAAAATTGTAAACAATGCTTCACACATTACAAAGATATGAATTTAAAAGTTTATTAAAGGAATAGGTCAAAGGGAGCGATAAAAAGGAAGTGAGAATTAGGTCATTTGAGGGGCTTTGGAGAGGGAAATCTGTTTAAACCAACTCTGGACCACCCAGATGAAACCTGTCACAAGTAAAACAAAGAATGAAGAAATATGTAAGAGGGTGATGGGTTTAATAGGAGGAAGGTTGGAACATGATGGTGAAGCTTGGGCAGACTGGGTCTAAGTAGGCTGCTGGGCAATCTGAGCTTGGTGTTACTCCTTGATCTAAGTTGACACATTAACCTAATTTAGGGACGTAATCTAATTATTAAAAAGCAATCCTCTCATAACAACCTTAAACTTTTCTTGGATATTGAGCTACTATAACAGCCAAGAAACCTGGCGAAACCTTGTATTGTTGAATTAAGCAGTAGTTCTCGAAATGTGGCATGCATCCCTCTGTTAATCAGGGCTGTTCTGATGTCCTGTCCTGTTTACAGTCCTAATTAAACATACATTTTATGTATTTCTACACTGCAAAAAATTGGAGAGGGAAGATCATGACACGATAGCTGACAATTATGCGCTGTATTTCAGTGCTTTAAAATACGGTTGCACTGACAGTTTTTTTTATTTTAGACAATCGGCTTTGTACCAAATCAGAAAATAAGCAAAAAAAAAAAAAANTTTTTTTTTTTTTTTAAAGATTGGTGATCGAGCAAAAAACAGCAGTCGGTGCAGCACCACTTTAGAATTCAAGCCAAACCCAGAATGAGGTGCAATAAAATGGAAAAATACATTGAAATTTGACAAAAATTAAAACAGAACTTATTTTTTTTATTTCCCCAACCAATCTCGCAATTTTATTTTGATTTGCATTAACTACATAAATGTGGATGTTTCACTTCAGGGTCTTTAAAAGCTTGTTGTCCAGTCTATTGTCGCAGGACTTTACATGTACTTCTGGCAGCAGGCATTTGGTTCTATCTATACATCTTTCTTGCCTAAAGGACCAAGTCAGTATCTTACTCCTTTTAAATGTAGCATAACCAAAATTAAATGCTTCTGTGATTTGAGAATAGTATTTTTTTTTTTTTTTTTACTCACGATTATAATGCAAAAGCACTTAATTACCCAGCCCTAATTTAAATGAACATTCAGCAAACTCTCTGCTAATGATCAGAGAATGTCTACAGTTCCCTGTGAGTCAGTAGCTGGTTAGAAAAGCCTGGAAAGTCCAGTGGGCTCTATACACAACTCCACTACTTGCTGAACTTAAGGCAGCCCTTCCTGTCTTTCATTACTAGATGAACTGATTAATCCAAGTGTGCCTGGCTGTGGTTACTGAGGTCGGACACACCTTAATCAGTTCATCCAGTAGAAAAAGACAGGAAACATAAGAGCTTCTTTAAGTTCAGGAAGTAGTAGAGTTGTGCATAACTGGAGATGAGTTGAAAGGAAGCATCTTAAGAATAAGTAGATAAGAAGATGATCGGCATCTGCTTCCAGACCAACATGAGGAGCATTTTGCTAGAAAATAGTCTTTCTCTGAAGGAGCTCATAAGCTTTAGAAACGACTGAAATAACAGAAGTTACACTAAAAAGAGAGCTGAAAAGCCTGATTGGTGCATCTCGAGTATAGACCTAAATGTTTCTGTTAAGGTGGTATAGCAGTGCTGTATGATATGTCGTCTGGAAGGGACTTCTCCAATGTTCAGATTTATTTTTGCATATTTTGGGGTAATGGAAAGGTCATACATACCAGTTTCCTTTGAATGCACAATATTTTAGACCAAAAAATTAACTTCTGCATCTGTTCCTGTCAGCAGTGAAAGAGTCAGTCAGCACAGACACTCAGACGAGGAAAGAGCAGGTCTCGTCTGAGCCGCGGCAGAAGCTCCGTATATTTTATCAGGTACACCACATACTAAGGAGAACACTGGGCTTTGGATTTAACCATTTGTTCAGACATTTTGGGGAAATAATGATTTGTTAATTTTGACATTGATAGAGGGAAGTTGTTTGATATTTAACCCTGACGGTAGCAGTGATTCATTTATTTTTAATTCATTTTTACATCTGCTGGGGGATAAACCTGTTCTTGTAGTAATTCTGAATTGTGTTCTTCATTAGTTCCTCTACAACAATAACACACGGCAGCAGACTGAGGCCAGAGATGATCTCCACTGTCCCTGGTGTACTCTGAACTGCAGTAAACTCTACAGCCTGCTAAAACACCTCAAGCTCTCCCACTCGCGCTTCATTTTCAACTATGTGGTAAGGAACGGGTTTGAACTTCTGTTTTAAAGGGTCTTAATTCCCTTTTGCTAGTAATATCAGGTACGCTGTAGAAGAGAAACATTGGAGTATTCCATCCTCAGTACCAATGCATCCCTGAGCTCCATACAGAGACGTCATGTAATGTCTTTTATTTTGCATGAACACAATAATCAGAACAATGTAAAGTCCAGCAGCTCCTCCTAAAATTAATGTTCCTCCTGGATTACAGAATGTTTCACCTGGATTACAGAAAGAACGATTCCTACAAGTATAATAAAGTGGAATGGTTCTAGTTAGATTAAGCCATTTCTCTTGACTAAACGTAGGGATCTTCCTTCAAATGTTGCAGACAATACTGTAGGACTGAAACAATTAATCGTGATTAATTGATTATTGAAATAACCATCAACTAATGTAGTATTCGATAAATCGTTAACTTAGTATAGAGACATGTCTTTAGCTGACAGAGCAACCCACTTAGAGTAGTAATTATGCCAAGATTGTTAAAATAGATATTTTGTATTTAAGATAGAAAAAAAAAATTGTCCATCAATGTGGTCTATCCAGAACTAGAGTGGAAAAGTTTTAGTTTCCCCAGGTTTAATTTCATAAAAAATATTTAAGGAACCTTTGGCTAACCGATTATTAATCAATTAATCGAAAAAATGATCGACAGATTTATCGATTTGCAAAATAATCGTTCGTTGCAGACCTACAATACTGTCCCTAATAAAGATGTTTAGGCTTTTAAAGTCTAGTTTCTCATTTTATACAAAAGCCTTCCTTTATTAAATGAAATGTCGTGATTCTCTTATCCTTTCCTGTTTCCACTATGTTCAGCCTCACCCTAAAGGAGCGAGGATAGACGTGTCCATCAATGAATGCTATGATGGCTCCTATGTTGGCAACCCTCAGGACATCCACAGCCAGCCCGGCTTTGCTTTTAGCCGAAATGGACCAGTCAAAAGAACCGCGGTTACTCACATACTGGTTTCCAGGTAAACTTTGCTTGTTTGGTCAAAAATTATACAGTTTATTGAGATGAATGCTCTGTCTATAAAAATTTTAGTAGCTTCACACTGTGAGCCTTCTTATTTTGATAGGCCCAAAAGGACCAAACCAAGTTTGTCTGAGTTCTTGGAGTCTGAGGATGGAGAGCTGGAGCAGCAGAGGACCTACGTCAGTGGACACAACAGGCTCTACTTCCACAGCGACAGCTGCATGCCCCTGCGGCCTCAAGAGATGGACGTGGACAGCGAGGACGAGAGGGACCCAGAGTGGCTCAGAGAGAAGACCGCCACGGTGAGAAGATGATGCCATGCTGTGTCTTCTGAACTTTGACCTTAACTTGGGTCAATAATGTCTTCTAGATATGTGTCAATTAAGCTTTAAGTTGTCATTTAATTAAGTGGCTTCTTGTGAATATTTTGCTCTCCTTAATTTGACTGAATGCACAGACCACAGCATCTTGCAAACTTTTCGTACATTTAGACATGTTACAAATTCAGTCTTTTTTATAGGCCAAGGCAAGACTTCAAGGGGGTAAAAACGATTCATGGTTTTTATTTTTAAAAAGCTGAAAAGTCTATGTGACTTGCGACCTGTCCGAGGTGTTCCCCATCTTTCAGTCAAAGATTGGTTCATCTGAGTGATGAGGGGGAGAAGATCGATGAATGGGTTAAAAGTTGACGTTTATTGACTACTTTTTGGG